CTTCCGATTAGGTTGTCTAACTTAAATACTCAACTGATTGTTTATAAGTGATCCTTCTTGTCATATAGCTCAGTCTTTTTTAAAAAATCACCAGCACTACTATATTCAGTTTGAAAAGAAGGAAAATTATTCATATGGAAGTGTCAGATTTTTATGAACTGTGGATAAGCTCATTTTCCTCTTAGCTATAGAAGAAAATTCAACAAATATTAAGATAATGACATTTCTATTCTGTCATTTGTCATTCATCCTCTGCTTGTTGCTCTGTCAAAGACATCTTGCTACTTATTTCTGAAGAAGGTTAAAAAGAAATAAGATCAATTAAGTCTTATTAAAATTATTTCAATTTCTTTGAAAGAAAGTATCAAAATGTTGATACTTCTGCTATAAAACCATTTGATAGCATAAACCAATCACCATTCTGTTCATATCTTTCCTAGGAAACGATAATTATAAGGTAAGCATTTAGGCTATGGTCATATTTACTGAAATTTCATTTTCATTTCAGGAGAATCCACTTTGCTTTTGCAAATCAGTCTTTGTTTTCAAATATAAATGGACCATTTTGTATGTTTAAACACCTGTGGGGCATTTATAACAGTACCTTAATCTTATATAACTTAGCTGAATTTTACCCCAGGAATAATTACATCCTTTTTGCTTTAACTAGTTTAACCATACATCACAGTTTGCCTGGGACAGTCCTGGTTTTTGCCTTTCACTCTCAAGTACCCTGGTTTGGATAACAAATTATATGACCACCCTAGCTTTAATTGTCCTTAATTTCAGTTAAATTTTTTACAATGAATATATAATAAAACTTAATGTTGTTGCATTTCATTACGAAAAATTGCATTTTTTTCCTGAAATGGGGATTTTTATATTTTTCACGAATGCTTACTTAATGCTATAAACATTGAGCACTTACTACATGTATATAATAGTTATTACTTTGAAAAGAAAGCAGCAATAATTATATAAATTCCAAGCATCAATATTTAGTTTAATGGGGAAGAATTAAAGGTAGTATAGTTTAGTACTTAGAAGCCAGACTGACTGCCTGGATGCATATTCTTACTTACTAGTTATGTGACCTTGGAAATGATGCTTAACCTTTTCATGCCTCAGTTTCCACATCTGTAAAGTAAAGATAGTAATAGTATCTAACTCAAGGTTGTTATGTAGATTAAACAGGTTAATGTATCTGGCACATATAAGTGTTCAATAAGTGTTAGCTGGTATTAAGAATGTATAAAGCACTCAGTGCTTTACTGTCAGCTTTTACTGACAGTGTTAATCTTTGAACTTTCCGTTAGCAATAAAGACCCCCATGAGTAAAATTTAAGACATGGCACTATACATTTCAATGTTTGTAGAGGCCCATCCCTTAAAATTATTTTTTTTTATTATTTCACTGTCACTACCTGTACCTTTCAATAATCCCCCAGAATCCTTAGGAAAATATAAAAGATCAAATGAGATTTAATTGTGAGCAAAGTGGTGGTGTTTTTCTTATTACATTTTAGTATATATAGTTGATTTATATGTTGAAATATACTTTTGTGAGTGAGAATAAAGAGACCTATTCTTTTGGGCTAGACTATTGATTTTTTAAAACAACTTTACTGAGGTATAACTGATATACAAAAATTTGCTCATATTTAAAGTATATAATTTAATGTTTTCACATAATTACCCACTAAAAAACCATCACCAAAATCACAGATGCTTCCATTGTAGGTCAATTTTGATTGATTTTTTTCTCCTCATTACGCATTTTATTTTCCTTCTCTTTTGTGTGCCTGGTAATTTTTGATAAGAAGCCAGACTTAGTGAATTTTACCTTGGTGGGTACTGGACACTTGTATTTCTATAAATATTCTTTTTAAAAAATATATTTCATGTTAGTTTCAGATATACAGTACATTGGTTAGACATTTATATATAGTTTATGAAGTGATCCCTCTGATTACTCTAGCAACCATCTGGCTGTACATATAACCATTACAATGCTATTGACTTTCGTAACTACTAATTTGTACTTCTTCATCCCTTCACCTTTTTAAGCTTTATTCTAAGCCACAGTTAAGTTAGGGGAAATAATTTGATACTTCTGGGGCTTCTTTTTAATATTTTTTAAGCAGGACCAGAGCAGTGTTTATTCTACGGCTACTCATTACTCAGATAGATTGCTTCCAATTATTCTACCAAATAAATACTCCATAAATTATGAGGTATTCCAGTCCGGCTGGTGGGAACAGGCAATAATCTCTCCACCCTGTATGAGCTCTGATTTCTCTTTGATCCTTTCAGATAGTTCTTCCCATATTGCCTTTAGTAGTTTTCCTTCCTGTCTTCTTTCCTTCCTTCCTTCCTTCCTTCCTTCCTTCCTTCCTTCCTTCCTTCCTACTCTATGTTTATTTTCTCTATCAAATTGGATAATTCCTATTGCTCTATCTTCAAGTTCACTGGCTATCTTCTGTGAAAACAAATTATAACCCTCTCTCTCTCTCTCCCTCCCTCTCCTGCCCTTCTCTCTCTCTCTCTTTCTCTCTCCAACTCTCCCTCTCTACCTCTCTCCCCTTTCCCCCTTCCCTCCATCCCTCCCTTCTTCTCTTTCTCCATTTCCTTCTCTTTCATTTTCTTTTTTCCACACATATGGATTTATCAGTAATCTGCTGAATACTTGAGGGAGACCCTCTAACGATCTCTATAGTTCTCTCTGTCCTCCTCTCACCTCTCTGGTAGTCTGTCCTGCTAACTCTTATCTACCTTGGTCTCCCCTAACTCTTAGTATGTCTCCTCAACTAGGTTTCTCTTACCTACACAGCAGCCTGAAAACTCTCTCTTCAGGGTGTTAAGCTGGGGCAATCATAAGTCTTACGTGATTTGTTTCCCATCTGTTAGGGATCAGCCTCCTTCATTGCTTAATATCTGATCTTGGGAAAGCTGTTATTTCCTATATTTTATGGGCTTTTTTGGGGGGTGAGTGTTTAGGGGGATTGTTTCAAGCAGGCAGGTATATCCAGCCCCTGGTATTCTTTCTTGACCAGAGGCAGAAGTCCTTGTACTGTTGAACATTTATCATTTATCATTTTTATGATTATCATTTAGATCTGTTTTATTAAATTAATCACTGTTAATTTTATTATTATTTTCCATTTATTTCTGCATATCTGTTCTTTTTCCAATAGATTTTTTTATTGGTTGTTCTACTCCTCTATATAGTTTTAACCAAATTCTGATGTTACTACTACTTAGAGTCTTTAGGTTCACTGCTTCTACTATTAATAAAAATTTCACAAATGAAGATTTTGTTTCTATTTTAGGAGATGCTTATTAAGGACAGTTTACTTCTCTTTTTTCTAAAAGATTCCTGGTAGAAAATTATTTTAAAATATTACATCATTTCATATATTTAAAACTGTGTTTTACTGTAGGGTTATATTGCATTTATAACTTTTATCATAACAGATATAAAATAAGCATATTCACAGTTGCTCTGATGAAAATCTTATAACATTCTGACCACGGCAACACTCATAGTCAGGTTCTAACCTTGGATTTATGTTTTGCTTTCTTTAGTATTTTATACAGTAAAGCCCTAGTTATTGGGTGTATTAACGACCATTGAATCCTCCATTCTATGTTGTATCTGTATATACATACCCTTATACTTCGGGGCCCAGCTTACCAAGAAAGATCAATAGTTCTTTCTCCGTTTGACGATTTAGCACATTCCAGGATAACTCCTTCTACTTTACATTTTCCTCCTTCCTCATTAACCACATTCTAGTTCCACAGATTTGGTATTCCCTAATTTAAAAATGATTAATAAGGTTTTACTGTATATTGAAAAATCTGTTTTAAGATTTTCTTTTGACAGTTAGCTCGTCAGAGTATAGATTTGTTTTCTCTAAGGGTAGGTCAAATAAAACAAGTTGTAAATATAATGATGCTTTCATATTGAGAAAATGTGAAATGATATGTTTTACTAAAAGATTTACTGGTATATAGTTTCTCATCTATATCTATATCTATATCTATATCTATAAACAAAAGAGTGTGAACTATTATTTTTTAGGAGAGTGTTTAGAAAACTGGACTCAAACATAGATATAGCTATAGATAGATATAGATAGATATAGATAGATATAGATAGATATATATACTTTTTTCCTTTTAAATTTTATATTTAAATGATTATATATATATTTTTTCATTTAAATTAGGATTTGCTTTCCCATATGCTACATATGGACCCACATCAGCGGTACACGACAGAACAAGTATTAAAGCACTCATGGATAACCCAGAGAGACCAGTTACCGAATGATCAGCCAAATAGAAATGACACATCATGTGTCTTTAAGGTAAAATATACTCTTATGTACCTTTTAAGTGCTTAATAAACTAATAAAGCCATTGCATGCCATTCACTGATGACAGGTATAGAATTATCTTAAAGTATCTTTATTTTTTTAAAGATGTATTTATAGATTTTTGTTTTTTGATTAACAACCATGAGCTTTTCTTAATCTTCTTTACTTATTGTCCTTCTGATGATAAATGTCTTGATTGTATTTGACTTGTTCTTAGGAGACAGTAGGTCTAAGAGTGGACTAAATGCAAGTTTCATATTGAAACAAAAAATTGCTTTTGGTTCCTAAATTAATAACCATTGGTGTATATTCCTATATTTATAGATGTTGAACCTAGATTTTAAATTTTGATGACTTATGCATTCATCTGTTGAAGGACGCTTATGTTGTTTTTATGTCTTGACTATTGTGAATAATGCTGCAATGAACATGAGAGCACAGATAAATTTTAACATACACACGCAATGGAATATTATTCAGCTTTAAAAAAAGGAGATCCTGCCATTTGCAATAACATGATGTACTTGGAAGACATTATGTTTAGTGAAATAAGCCAAAAAAAAAAAAAACAAAAAAAAAACTCCATGGTCTCTCTTAATGTGGAATCTAAAAACATTGAATACATAGAAGCAGAGTGTAGAACAGTGATTTCCAGGAGAAAGGAGGAGAGAGAAAATGGGGAAATGTTGGTCAAAGCATACAACACTGTAGTTATGTAGGATGAATAAATCTAGAGATAAAATGTACAGTATGATGACTGTAATTATTAGTACTGTATTGAATACTGGAATTTGCTACGCATAGATTTCAGGTGCTCTCATCACAGAAAAAATGATAACTGTGTGAGGAGAAGATATGTTGATTAGTTTGACTATAGTAATCATTTTACTATGTATATGTATATCAAAATATGTTTATATACCTTAAATATGTTCAATTCCTATTAAAAATAAAATCTTAAAAATATTTAAATGCAAACTAAATAAGTGATGAAGGACTGATAAAATGATATATTTCAGTGTTTTGAAATTTTGTAAAAATCATATTTATTGAAATAAAACATATACGAGTAATCAGATATTAATTTATCAAGGGGGCATCAATGCACAAATCAAGTATACTCAATTATTTTCCTGTGGGGGAAAATTGTATTCTAGTTAAATCTCTCAGGATATAACATGAAAGGTTTTGTTTGTTTGTTTGTTTTACCTCTGGCAGTTGTTATTCAGTTTGTGATAATTCTCATTATTTTAGGGAACAGTGGTTGCCACATATTCAGTCTTGACTCACAAGACCTTTCAACCAGTCCTAGAGCCTGTTGCTGCTTCAAGCTTAGCTCAGCGACGGAGTATGAAAAAGCGAACATCAACTGGCCTGTAAGATTTCGTGTTCCTCAGCCAAACTGGATGAAGAGAAAATTAAATGTGTGGCTTTTTGCCTGATCTTATATCAAAGGCATTGTTTTCTGCTACATTACTTGAATATTCTGTTTAAGTCTCCTTATTTAGGGGGAGTGAAATTAAAAATTAAACATACACAGATCCACAATATTCATAATATGTTGTTTTGCGGTAGTGCCCATGTATTTAAGTACATAATTGGGGTCCACAAGGTCCTAACAACTTCTCCGCATACTAACTTCTAAAGTTCCTTTCAAATAAAGTTACTTTAATAGTTTTTCTGGTTTCATACAATAATGGTTTAAGGAGTCATTGCCAACAATCAAGATGCAAATTTAGTAGTATAATGCCAAGCAATTTAGGTATTTTTTGACATCAGATCCTGAAGGATAGGCTTTTTTTTTGTTAAAAAAAAAAGAAAAGAAAAGAAAAACAAATAAAGAGTATTGTAGAAGCTTGTTATTGTGTATAACCAAAGGATGCCATTCATTTGGTAGTAACCCCACTCTGTAGTTACTAAAATGTAGATAGAGTAGTTTGGTTCCAGAGTAGAATTAATTTGCGCTAATATGTGAACTCCTGATATTGTTGGTGCCAAAGTTTTTACAGAAGAATTAAACTACAGATGATGGGTACAGACAGAATTGTGTATTAATCATAAGTGGCCACATCTAGAAATAAAGGTTTCCATAAGGCTTTTGTAAATTTCACATCTAATAGAATTGTAATACAAGTGAAGGATTTTTTAGCCAAAGGCTTTTATATTAGTGTTATGATCTACTAAATAGGTCATAATTAAGCCTTTGAAAATAAAGTACATGATGTTGACACTATCTTGGTGTTATGTAAGCTGATTTTCAAGTGAACCAATTGGATTTAATCATCTGTACCCCTTATAATGAACTATACTGTTATTTTTTGGACCTTCATATGCTTTGAATTACAGTGTAGCATATTAGTCTACCTTGAATCCTGTGTCAATATAGTTGAGATTTTACTGTAGTGGACTTGTGGGCTTAGCACACATGATTTAGTATAATGCATTTCAGTAAACTTTAGAAAATGCTACATAATAGTTATACTTCAAGAAAATAAACTGACATTTTAAATAGGAAGTAATATTAATGATCTACATAAAATTTAAACACATTTTAAAATCATATTATAAAAGAAATCTGGCCAAATTGGCCTTATTAAATTTATGATTGAGAATCACTGTGTAGTATGTATTAATTTCTCTAAATGATGGAATTTTAAAGAATCTTTTTGTGTTGTTGAAGAAAATACCATTACTACAACAACAGCTGCTGCTACCACCACCACCACCACTACTACTACTGATAGAACACATGAATGTAAACTGAAGGATATTACAGTTTTGTTTACTGAATATAAGTGAACTACTTATGTGTGCTAGGTGTACTGTTTGCTGTGTATTTTATTTTGCTTAGTTTAGAAAGAGAATTCCTGATTGCTGAATTATGCGGTTTAGCCTAAAAGACTTACACCTTTAGTATTTAATAAAAGAAATTATACATATACTCTTTATAATGTAAATGGTATATATTCCATGCACAAAGATCTGTTTCTTGGATGTGATATATAAAAAAGTATGTATCCTTATTTTGAGGTGTCCTTTTGCAGTAATTGAAAGACATTAAATAGTATCTAATGTTACATGGAAAACATCATATCTTGTAGATTTTTATGTCCCAATTTGGCGTTTTCTTTTCTTGTTTTGCTTTATAACTAAAAGTACCTGCATGTAACAATTTGTTTCCACATATTCTGACTTATTTTCCTCTTGTCATTAACTTGTTTGTGCTATTATGCCTTCCTGTCAAAACTGATATGACAAACTCATATCAGTTTTTGGTGTTGAAGTTTTCAGAACAGAGATACTATTTCCATATGCACTTTTCTAATAATAGAATTAGAGTAAGTGAAATTGGAAAATGGAAAGTGATCACAGAATAACTTTCGATCTTTCCATAATCAATAATTTTTTAAAAGTAAATGATCTTAATTAATTTTTCAGTGCGTTTGCACTGAAAGGTCATGTCATGCAGTCCTTTTATGAAAGGCACACAATCAGAATTAAGCAGTGGACACCATGATTACTCATAACTCAGTAATGATTGACAATGGGTAAAAGACACAGATAAGCTAGTAGATTTTCCCGACAATTGTTTAAGTGTTTTCTGCTGAAAAACTCAGACATGGTATTTTAGCAACAGTAGTAGGGGAAACCTTATTATAAGGAAACGCTTCAAACTATATTCTCATTTTGTAAAATGAACCCAGGATTGGATGCCTAATGTCCATTTTGACTTGGACTCTAGAGCAACAAATTCAGATGTGAATGGGAAATTTTTTGATGGAACTCCTCTAAATCCTTAACCAGTAAAAACAAATCCTTTTTATAAAACTTTAGGATATTATGGTTTCTAATAGATTTATGAACAATTATTTTGCATTGCTTAATCTTTCTAGTTGATGCTTCTTGGTAGTATTTAATGATAGCGCAGTCTGGAGATTTTTTTGGTATCTGCAAGGAAGAGGATATTGTATTTTTTTTTTCTAAAAGAGAAAACAATTTTTCCTGGACAGACTAACAATCTAATGTCCTAAAGCACATATTATTATGAATAAACTCAGGAAACTGTTTGCAAGAAAATTAAAATGTAGCATCGGAGATGGTGATTTTCTAGGGGGAAAAAACTTTTAGTTCTTTCAAATTGAACTTTAGCCTATTTTGTTAGATCCAATAATATCTAAACATTGTTTTTTATAATTTACCGCCATTGATAATTAAACACTGTAAAACATTTTGTTAGCACCTCTAATTCGCCCAAAGGGATTTCATATGTGTAGGCAACCCACAAACTTAAGAACAGATGCTTGGTGTTTATTGAAACATCATGTTAAATTAGTATTGACCACAGAAACTTATTTATACTGACTGGATAGTATTTTCCTGACAATAAGAGACTCTTTATATCTTAAGAAGGAAAAGAACTGCTTACTTGTCATTCTCTTTCTTCCACCTTTCCAGCCCCACGTGCGATCACATTTGATTACCTTACAGAGAACTCCATGATTAAATTACTCCAGAAGGATTCTGTGCCCCAAAAGGACCTCACACCCGTCCCCTTTTGCAAGTAAGAACTTCCATTTGCAGAGAGTAGTTATTTTCAGCTAAAGAGGTGAAAGGAGAGCTAGCTCATTAAATTTTTCTGTCAGTGGCTAATAGATAATTGGCATTTTTCAAGAAAGATATCCATTAATCAAATAAGTTTATAGTTGCTGTATATTTAGGCAGTATAACTAAAATATGAATAATTTAAAATTCAGTTACTATGAGGGACGATATTTTGAGGCAAGGAACTTACATACTATGCCCCAGAGCCAGATTATCCAATAGAACGTTTCTTTTTTGCACAGCTCCTTTCTACTTCTCAATTTACATTTTTAAAAACCTTCCAAGCTTTTTAATCACAATAGACTTCTATGACAGAATGGTGTGGATGGAGGCAGTTGTTAAGCCCATATTTATCTGTATTCTTGTTTCTTATAGTACTTGACCTATAAGATAAGGAGTCTCCCCATGCCCCCCATATCCCAATTCCTATTGTATTGATAGAGAAAAAAGCACAGAAAGATTGAATGCAAACCATCAATGGGGTCCAAGTCTCCAAATTCTTTGTCTAGATTTCAGGACACAGATATTCTATTTATTACAATGTTATTTTTCATCAAGAATGCAAGCCATATTAAATATAAATTGGTCAACTACAATTAAATTTTTTTAGAACAATTTCTTACATTTCAAAGCTTATTCAGATATGTTGGTATGTGTCTCAAAATGAGTGCTGAAATTAATAGAACAATTCAGTAGTTTGCTATTTGCCTTCCTATACAAGAGTATAGTGGCATTGATAGTGATTCATAAATACATTGTACTCATGGATACACTGTTCCTGATTTTAGTCTTGCAATATAGTGACATCCATATGATTTGAATAAAGTGATAATGCTTGATCATTTAAAATTCAAGTTGGTTGTTAATATTTAAAAGTATAGTAAGTCTTAAATTATAGGCATTTAGTTTCTTCATAATATGAAGAAAAACAGAAAGGAAATTTTTAGAATACATAAATTCAGGCTGGCTATCTTATAGTCCTCAAATTATGTATCTTTTAGCTTATTGACCAGCAAGAAATCTTAGCTAAATGCTTAGAAATATATGTATATGTGATTGCCAAGTATGATTTGTTCTATATTCACATTTCTAAACCTTGGTCAATAGAGCATCTTTGGATGACTGGTTTGCTTTCATTCTATTTGTCTAAGTACATGAACAAATCTCTTCAAAAGGTATTTGTCAAACATCTAATTTTATGTGAGACAGTTCTAGAGAATGTACTAAGTGCTTTAGTTTCTTAATAAATTATCATAATGTGACCAATTAGATTTATTGCTTTTTTCTTTCCTATCAACTAATTTTGCTCAGGTCACATTTAAGTTCTCTTATCAAATTCACTCCCTCTAAAATTGAGACCACTTATAGCAAAAAGTAAATGTAAGTTTGTTTATTAATGTAATAAAATTATTTTTAATATCATGAAAGCAGTCTAACAGTCATTTTTAAAGTTATACAAGAAACCTTAATTAAATATCCAAATGCCAACATGGTTTGGAAATGAGAATTTATCTTGCATTAAATTCCACAATGCAAAACAAAAGGAGGATGTGTTTCTGTGTTTGATTTAAAAAAAAAAAAAAGTATATAGTGTTGGGTACTTATGAGTTAGCATCGGGGTTATGCAGAGAGAGCATAGTTTGCTGTAGCCACAGTAAAAAAATATTGTCTTGCCAATACTTCCCAAGTACTTTGGGATTCTTCAACTTATTTTCTGATATGGCAAATATATTCACCAACATTTGATTGCAATTCTCAAGACAGAAATGGGTGAAATAGAATTTGTGTGTAATTTTATTCATGTGTACTTAAAAACTTAAAAGTTGCAATTGAAAGAAAAAGTTCTCAATGTTCAGATAACTGTATTTTCTTTTTCTGACTACATTATGGAATTTATAACATCATTTATTTTATAAATGCTTTTTTTAAAGCACTGTTCCTTTTGACATTGAAGTTTTCATTATACTATATTTTTCATGTAACGCCCAATCCAATAGTGCATTTTACAGTATTTTCTCCTTCACCATGCTGCTAAAGAAATGGCTATCATTTTGAACTTACAACATGCCAAAGAT